CTACCAGATTGGCAATTCTAAATAGACAAATATTGCCAAACAGCTGATACTACAGACCATTGTTGTGTTTATTGTTATGTGTCACTCACGTTCTCAGTGTAGTTTTATTAGGAAAACATGTACAAATTTGGCCGTCACACACGGTGCCAGTTCTGGGGGTTTTATTCATTTTTCCGATTCCAGTGAATGAAGATTGAATTCTAAAAATGGGAAAGTGGTTACACTTAGTTCCTCAGAGTGACTTGGGCGGATATTAACCAAAAGCTGTTGATTGGACCATTTTTAAACTGTGCCAAAAGACAGATAATGATAGTTTGCTTCGTCCTACAAGCAATAAAAATGTAAATGCTCGTAGCACCGTATATGTAACTCTTGTCAAAAGCTTTCAAAACTTTGATGACATAAATAGTTTACCCACCTATATTGATATAAATGTTTTCAATGAAAATCGGCGTAGATAAAAATGAATCGAAATGATGAATCAGAAAAATTAAAATCAGAAATAATTAGATTAATACAATAGTTTAAGAGTGACATAAAACTAAAATCTGGAGTAACCAATCATTTCAAGTCAAATATGTTGCTAAGGTACGAGCACTTTACAGTACATTTAAAGAGCTAGGCAACCCATGTTTCTAAAAATAATGATGACCTTATTGTCATTGAAATCGTCCACTAGAAAGCCTTCCACCAATAAAAGGTGCATTACTACAGCAAGTTTTGAGTAGTGTGTAACATCGCCAGACGATTAGGGTTGGTGATTGCAATAATGAATCTTGGCAGTTGAAATGGTCGGAATTATCAGATATTTCTGATTCCTACAAAGAACTCATCAAATAAATGTGTTTGCAAATTCTGCAAAAACAAGTGCAGCTGCAAAACTGCTGGTTTATCTTGCAAATTGTTGTGCAAAATGCAAGAATGAATGTAAACAATAATACCCCGCCGCAGCAAACCTGCAGACTAAGCAAATTTTCATTTGTCTGAATTGATTTTCATATTAAATCTATTTAAACAACATTATGTTTAACGAGTACCTAGGTTTAATGCTACAAAGAAACTAATAAAGTTAGTTTTTTAGTAAAATATTAATAGCTTGGTATAAAATAAATAAATTTGCCATTTTTATACACATATATATCCATAAACAAGCAAACTACAACATTTTACAATATTCTCCATAAGAATATTGTACTGGGAATATGGTAATTTTAAATTTACAATTTTTTGAATTTTCTCTGTTACCAATAACCGTACAAAAACACTTTAATATAAGCCTAGGTACTAAATTATTTCTTTTTTTAAGCTCTTTAATAATAAAAATATAGAGAGTATTGAAAAATAAATTGGAAAATTTTATGTTTTGAGGCTCAAAAATTAGATAAACTAATTTTTACCCCATAAAAACCTCTGTAAAACCCCGTTTCCATGTTCCGATCATTTTGGTTCGCGAACTCATTCAAGTTTAACCTGCCTAACACATTTAAACAAAATTTCATCAATATCCGACAAAAATTACTCCGAAGTTATCGCGTTCACGGACACACACACACAAATATATATCTATATATATATATTTGAACGAATTGTGTTTTTGGTCTCTGGGGACATCAAAATGAAAAAGTAAATCGGTCCTGGGCCTAGGTCTTACCATGCCACCTACTGCAATAGCGACTTCTCTAGGGTAAAAATGGTGTTGGTAGAAATATTCTGCAACTTATAAAATATAATGTGTATTTTTTATTTGGGGATAGGCCTATACATTTCCTGTAAATAAATTTACGTCTATTTCATTATTACTCAACTTATTTACCTACCTTATACCTAAAAGCTTAAATATTGATAAGAAATGATGTATATAAAAAGAAAATATATAAAACCCAAAATTCGGGCAGCCATTTTGAAAAATAGCCACCATTTTGGATTATAGCAACTTTGGTTGGTGCCTCCCCATCTTATTTTCATTGCCTAACCTTAAACTACATTCCCACCAAAGGGCATACTCTTATCACAATTTGCAGTTTTCTTATGAGTTTTTTACTGTAGCTCCTCCACTATAGTATCTAAGTCAATCATAACTAATACTATAGATCGATACTTACATTTGAAATACTAATTTTTTGTCAAAACTGATTACAGAAGAAAGGATGATCAACAGTAGGCTATCTTAATATCTGGGTTAGTCAACCATAAAGAATTTTGACAAAAATATTAAAATTACATAACGCTCTGCGTTTATTTATTTAATGATTTACAATCATTTTTTTCATATTGACCCCTCCCCGCCACGAAAATAAAAAAAACATAAGCATAGCAAATTTTCAAGCTTATCAAAGGTCAATGTACTATTCAATTTGTAATATAAATTGACTTATTAAACCAATAATTAAATTATTTATCATTATAAACTTTCGCTACAACTCTCTGTACATTTTATACTTACAAACAGGGAGCTAAAATCTAACAGGGTTCTTTCCTTTCTACAATTTCATACAATGTCTAAAATATATGGTGGTCAATTTTAAAACATATTCAATCCCAATCACTTTTAAACATCTGTAAACCAATTCATATTTATATATTGAGTCGCTGTATTCACAGCAGGTCAATCGCAAATCTTACATCTCTGCCAACAATAGCCTCGGATGCAAATGTAATAGCCTTGTTGACGGGTTCAGCAGAACAGACGTTTACAATAATCCCTGACTTAAACTGCAAATAAGGTCTGAATCAAGAAAAGCGAGGATGTATATTCAATTTTCTCGTCCTTCTCTTGTTTACCATAGTATATTGTTTCATACCGTTCTGTTTACGATTGAATTTTATATTCTTGTAAAGTGAAATTAAATGCAAGTGGAGTTTTGTACGTTCTTCTTGGATTGTTTTGAATTTTGCGATTTTGCTTTTGCAGCTTGAGTTTGCAAACACAGATACAGAGAAACTGCTTTTAGGACATTGCTAAATTATAAACATTAATTAGTAACGAATAAGGCACAACCCATAAAAAATACTTCGTTTTAAATACAGATTGTTGATATAATATTAAAATCTTGTGTCCCTGTTTGCAGCGCAGACAAAAATATCGATAGTCATCAGCACATCAGCAAACTTGCTTTTGAGCTCATTTGAAATATATATTTGTTAATATTATACATCACTTCACTGACACCAATCTCTATTCTTAACTTGACCTAGTCCCTCGCTGCTGGTAAGAAAATCTTCAAATTCTATTATTCTGTCACTTCACTTCACAAAGAACTTACTTCGACATAAATGATAAAAACAGCGTGATAAAATTTACGTTTTGTCCTAGATTATGCGCACACAAGTCAAATCCTTTAATATACAGTTATTTAATTTTTTTGCTACCACAATAACATCAAGAGCACATTTTGTAACATGATTTCAACACATCCTACAAATTTAACCTACTATCCATAGATTCAACCATGGGCTACCTCACTCATACCTCACTATGGGCCAACAGTTTTTATCCTAAACGGTTGCTTTTTACTTTACAAAAGAAGTCGGTGAGGTTAATTTGTAGTGTGAATAGAAGAACACATTGTAAGCCCCTTTTCGTGGGTCTTCATTCTCAAATTTCCATCCTTGTATGTTTTGGCAAGTTTGTTGTATGTAAAGGAAAACATTTCTCACTTCGAAAAGATATCTGATGTTCACAACTATTGTACTAGATCTAAAGATAATCTGTCTACACTAAGGCATAAGTATACAGGCACTCAAAATAGTTTTGAGTACCAAGGTGTTAAAATGTACAATTTCTTGCGCCTGCGTCCATCAAAAACCTGTGTTTCAAAATTTAAACAAGTTTTAAAAATTACTCTAACCCAGGCTTGCCTGTATAAACATGAAGAGTACTTTGGTTTAGAGTTTTAGTTATTTTAGTTGCCATCTTGATTGTTTTCTTTTTCTTTTTCTTTTGACGATTGTCGTGAACTTTGTTTGTACTTAGTTTTAACGACAATAAAGCATTTCATTTCATTTCATGACAATGGAATTCTCACGGATCACCATCATGCCTATGTTATTTTGTGTGTTATCTTTCTTTATTTCTATTGTTTCATCCAATACTATAATGGTGAAATTAATATTAGGGCTTGCTTTATTTACAACAAATCAAAATATTAAAAACGAGGCTGAAATATGTTCAGTTTAGCAAAATGGTAGTTTTTTGTTTTTTTTTTGCAAGTGAGAAATGCATAGGTAGTAGCACAAGTTATTAAGTTTCGGGACTATTTATCAACAACGGTCCCATCCAATCTGTTCCACATAGCGACACTTAACGCACCGACGGGGTCCAGTTCTTGTAAGGCTCACGGGACGCTTCGTGACGCACTATTCTACTGCCTGTCATGGCGTGACGTCACTTTCTTCTCTTGAGGTAACACCATTACAGCAACGATACGAAATAATTAAGCCATCGGTGTTTGTGGTGGGAAGAGTACTCGGCTTATGTACAAAGAGGTAACCAGATCGAATTCCATCGGTAACATGAACTTTTTGTCTAAGTATTGGCTTAGAATGCGATTACTTCTTAACTGTACATCTTTTGTTTTTGTTAGAATTTGAGGCATTTATAATTTTATTTTATGAACATAACTGTTTTCTATTACCTGAAAACTTCGTCTGATTTTTCATTATCAGCAAGTTTGGTTAGTTAGGTTGGGTTATGACAGTTTAATTTTATGATTAAAAAATGAAAAAATGAATTTTACAATTTTTCTTAATTTTATGAATTAAGAGATCATGGATCTACGGACTATCAATATGACGTCACGGATGGCTCCTGTGAGCCTGTCCGGAACGCGACCCAATCTTGACGTCGAAGGAAAGGAAAACGAAAACAGGAAACGAACCGTTAACCGTTCCGTTCCGTCGTTCCATCCATAGCTCTAGCTCTAGGTGGCTGGTGGCTCTTCTTCTTCTGGTCTGGCTGTAGCTGTGCTCTTTGTTCTTCTTCCTTGCTTGCCTGACTCGACTGTGGTTAACCTAACCTTGTGGACTTTGATTAAATAAAATAAATATTTCTGATTTCTCTAATAATAATAATTATTACAATCATACATTTTAAATAACATATACCTACCGTATTATCAAATAAAGTTTGTATTTTTCTGGTTATAGTGTCCTACGAATGGTTGATTGTATATAGGCAATTGCAAATAAGTTCTTGGTGTGAATCGATCTTATGGGTAAAACTAATTCCAATATTTACCAAAGATTTCGAAGGGTTAAGGGAACACAATTTTTTGTCTTGAGAGATTTACTTGCACTTGGAACAGTTTCACTAGGGGTTTGCATAGGAATAGGATTGTGGTAAGTACTTAGCTCTGTTTTAGGCATAGTAACTTAGCCTAGGATAAGTTAGTTGTTAGGAATTCTTTTCAGGCTTAAAATAATGATTCGGTTTTACCCTTCTAGAGTACCTGGGCTTGGTTCTTATCAAGATAAAGCTTAGAATATTGATTGGATGTAATGTTTGAAATGGGAATCAGTCTTAGTTAAATTAATTTTGAAACAAATTGTTGTTGTCATAGGCTACTTTTATAGCCTATTTAACTTACCTATACAGTAGGTAGTCTAATAGGCTAGATCTTTTAACACGTTCGCTGGGAGAATCCCTGAAAACGCCGACAAAAAGCATTGCCAGACGGGATTTTACGGGAAATTTTACTACCAACCTAAACTCAACCTACACCAAATTAAAGTAGGCCTAGGCCTATAGGACCTGGACAACATGCTGACATAGTTTAGTTGATCCCTGATAAATACGGAGGTCACAATAGACCAACTTGTATAACACTGCACCGTTACTCCCCCGACTGGAGTCGTACGCATGCTGTGCCAGTGGGGCATGACTCCGATCGAAGTTGTCAGCAACGAATGAGTTTTATTTAGCCTAGGAGGCCTATAGGCTAGATGCATCCAAACTAATTTTTAATTTTGATGTCTAACTTAATAATTTTTTAGGCTAGGCCTACCTTCTGAATCCAAATAAGTTTACTCTATAAGTTACCATTATTTTTTACCGCTGATGAATGGGCCTAGGCCTAATTCTTAAGATATCGCCGTAAAATCGTACAACATTAACATTAGGTAACTTAGCCTACAATAAACAAGTTAGAACGGATGACATTTACAAAATTGTGGAATGAACTGTGGGTGAAGTAACTTAGCCTAAGCCAACAGCCGGTAACTTAGTTTTCTGAAATCATAGTCAGGCAAATGGAAGCAACAACTTTATTAGCTACCGGTAACTCTTAATTCAGCAATTTTAAAATGACCTGATTAAACACTTTTCACTTTTCTACGACCAACAAGTTAAAACATTTAATATAATTTATTATTGTTACCAGTATTTTATTCATAATGATTTAGCCTATATTTCGCCGTTTAGAAATTACATAGTAAAATGTTGCTTTTCAAAAACCTAACCAAACTAAGTTAAACCTCTAGAACGTTAGGAAACCCCTTTTGATGTCAGAAAAGGCATCTCAAGGTGGTTGGTCGTGCTTTTTATGCGAATTCGTGAACTGCATTAATGGGGGTCAGACGACATCAATTTTCGGTACTTTCCTGTTATCTGGTACCTGGTTGTAGGGCCTACTTTGGTTAGGTTAGGTTAGGTTAGTTTATCAATAACATGAGTATTGTAAGTAAACGAACCTAACCTAACCTAACCAAACCTAACCTAAACGGTAGTATGTGCTCCGGACTCTGGATCGACGAAGTTGTACTTGTGGTTAAAGAATTTTTTTGCAGGTACCAGATAACAGAAAAGTACCCAATTTTCTTTTTCGTTTTTATGTTGTAGGCCTAGGCCTAGGCCTAAGTGGTTGAAGTTGGTTCTTTGTTTTAATGTTCTGCTTTAAAATGATACCTTACTTTAAAAAATCGGATGGCTAGAAAAAATGAAGTTTTACTAACGCATTGTTGCTCAGTTTTGACGTTCCTTTGAAATACCTGCTTATTAGGCAATCCATTCAATTGCAGTTGCAACTAGTTTCGGTTCTTATTTGGATCCATCATTAGGCGGTACAAGGATGTTTCCTTTCTTCAAGAAGAGCGTCACATTTAAGACATAAATAAACATTTACTCACAACACGATACGAAAACGTAAAAAATATTTATGGTACCTAACTGATCAGTTATAACAGATGGCGCTAACCCGGCGATGTTAGAGTCCAGACTGCGGGTGGTCAGTCCAGTAGGTGTCTAGGTCCGTTATCTATCACCAAAGGTTACGTCTTGTCTATTACATTTATTTTGTTATTCTTCTAAAAGATTTCATAGTAAATAATGTTTCCTTTAATGATAATTTGTCCCGTTATGGGGATATAGATGAACCACCTTAAATGAGCTTAACAAATTCCCATGATTTTTTTCTCACCAAATTTCCGCGCCAGAGAATTATTCCCGCTTTATAAATCCCTTCCAACTGAAGAGAAACTAGACCAAATCATATTTAACCTTTAACCATCTAATTTAGCATCTCTTCTGATAACTCACTACGTTGTTTTAACATTGTTAGTTCTATTAACCTGTCATTAAGTTATGGTCATAACTACCCCTATTTGTCTTTCATTCCAGGCTTACACCAGGATTTAAAAAAATTTCTAAATCCATAGAAGATGGCTATTGGGACCCCTCAGAAGAATCTCAAAAGAAGCGAATGCTCTTGCGCACAGCTCTGTTGCCAAAATCATCTGATCAGATTCGCCAAGAAATAGAAGAAGACCGTGTGTTTACTCCTGGTATGGAAAGAGCCTCATCAATCTAAAGAAATGTCTCATATCAATAGGAAGAAAAAGACTTTAACCACAAAAAGGAAAACCAACAGAGCAAGCCAACATGATTTGGAAAACAATACATCAATGTTTGAAAGCTTTGTCAGTGTAAGGTGTGTATAATTAACCATTTTTTGTGTTAACAAATTTTTAAATGTTTTTTGTAGGTAGCATGTACAGTTCTGCATAGAACATAAAGTTAGATAGGTACCTACCCTATCTCTAGAGTGAAATTTTTGTTCGATATAAAAATCTATTAGGCCTGTACAATTTTTCATTTGATGAATAGGTATTGAATGTATATAGATTTTCTGTTGTGAGTCTATTTATTTTAAGAAGAACCTCTGCTCTGTACTCTTTCAAAGTGACTGCGGTGTTTAGGTTTGATCAGTTTTGATAATATGATAGGTCAAGTTGTATGAAACTTCGGCTCTTTTTTGTCTAAATAATGTATAAGTACTGTAACTAAGTATAAGTAAATTTTACAAAAGATTCTTCTGTCCTTTAGTTTTTGAAAAGGTTTTTTTAATACTGACGCCCACCAAGTATTTTTTTAACCATTGATGCCACTAACCATAGACGATTTGTTTAGTTTGACTGAAGAAATAACATGTGAAAAGTATTAAGGTAGGGATGAACTAGTTTTGTTCATATAAGTTACAGTAGGGATTTGACCTATGTACATTTGAAATATGTAACTGTTTATGAATTTTAAGTGATTAGCCTCAAAATTTAACTATTTCTTTTTTTTAGGAAAATTGTTAGTACTGAGAAGTGACTTCTGATGAGAACACTACATGTTAGATGTCCGTGGTTGTGGTATTTGTAGTAAAAATGTAGCTAATAAAACATTTCAACAAAGATACATTTTTTATTTGGTCCTTTTTCATTTACAGAAGTTCAAAACAACAGCAAGATGTCTTATCATCCAGTCAACAGTCCAGTATTTGTCCAATCTCTCGAGAAAATGAAGACGATATATTTGCATTTCCCAAAAAGAGTTGTTTATCAGATCCAAATAAAACAGCTCAAACCGAAATATCACCGCAGGAAAATATTTTTGATGAAGAAACCAAAGTTGAAATTTCGATTTTGGATTCGTCTAAATTGAAACCAGAAGAACAGTATCAACTGAATGATAGTTCTTTATTTTTTGAAAGTGATACCAAGAAGAAGTTTGTACCAAACTCACCCGTTTGTAAAGATAGCTGTGGCTTAAACGAAGATGTGGACGATAATGACGACACTGTTCCTATTCCAGATGGATCTAATGAGACAAAAGCTTCAGTTTCGGAAACAAACTTACCAGAAGAAAAAAATCCAGATAGCGAAGATAATAACCAGTGCCCAGTATGTTTAAAAACTGTTGGTGTCGCCAAGTATTTAAGTCACATAAAATCCTGTGCTGCTAAAAATAAACTCAGTACTCAACAATTACTTTCTGCGTTACAGCTGCACAAAAAGCAACTAGCAGAAAGAAAAGAACTGGGCCTTGGGATACCGGTCCAAAGCTATAGAGCTAAAGTGTCACCCAAAAGGTCTAGAACTAATAATGCGAGAAAGGTACATATATTTTCATTTGTTGAGTGTAACTAAAGTCAGCTATAGGCTGTTTTTACAAACTAAATACATTTAACTAATAACCAAACGCATTAAACTTGAATGTCATTCAAGTTTTTATTTGACACTTAGCTAGAAATAATGAAAATGAAAAATTGTTTATTTTTTCAGACAAAGTTAGGGCCACATGGCCCTTTCTTACACTTAACCTGTTGTTAATGTTTCTTACACTTAATAATCTATTAGATGGACACTTGATACCCATTTTAATCTAATTAAAGTACTTTTAAGAAATAATCTCCAAAATTTCAGAAACAGGGCTTTGAATTTTGAAAATGAATCCTCTCTCCATCAAAAGTTTGAATTTGTAGCCTAAAACATTTGATCAAAACATTTAGGGTGTTTTTTTACACAACCCAAATTAAATTTAAGACAAAAGAAGTTCATAAGTTGGTAGCCCTGTATAGTTTACCTCATTGCCGATCAGCTGATATGCATTGTTTCTTATTATTGAGTACTATTCATAATAAATTCCCAATAAGACTAAACCTTTTGAACAACAATGCATATAAGCTGTATGGCAATTAAATAAGGGATACCAAATTATGAGCTAGTTTTGTACTGAAACAGTGCCTAGCTTAGTAGATGTAATTTGGGTAGCATAAAAAATTCCTGTAAAATATTGTGACATATTAAACCGACTAGGCCTAGGTGGTGTATAAAAAAGCTAGATTTTTATGACGCCAACACCCTAAAGTTGGTAACACAATTGATTGATAGGTAAAGGCTGATTTTAAAGGGAAGGTAAAAGGTAGGTTACAGAGGGACATGGGTTTGTTGAATTTCTAGTCGTGTGTGACAATGCTAAATTACTATAAAACCACAAAACGGTACAGCGGAGGTAGCTTCCGCAGTGTGCCTGATATGTGTCTCTTATGTGCAAATATCTTCTACATATGCCAAAATATTGTTTAGTGCAGAATCTTTTGAAACTGAACTTGTTTGGTTCAGGAACTCACTTACTAGTAAATACATTTAAATCGTAATTTATATTCTAAAGATGCTGTTTAGTGCTCTTTGAACATATACAATTTTGCTTCCAAACTACTTAGAGGGTTTTACCTGTCAGCTGGTTACCGCGTAAACATGGTCCTACAAAATAGAACCTCGTTGCATTATTAAAGTGTTTATCCAGTTGATATGAACTGTAAAATATTAACAAGGATCCAAACTATGCCCGGATGAACTTAATTTGACATGTGATTTTAACTTCTAAATGATTAACATTAATTTATCCCCATCCATTGCAAGCTCTGATATGTTAAGAGCACCAAAAGCACACAGTCATTGGAAACAAATTAGTTTTAGAGTGTTAAGAGATTGTACCGTAGAGGTATCTTAAGAAACATTAGCATGTTTAGCCGCCATCTTGAATTGACTGGCTAGAACCATAGACTAACCAACACAAGTAGACTTCTCATCCCATTGTAAATTGAAGCCCGTTCTTCGTGTATAGTTCATGTACGGTGACACCGGGCGCTAGTGTTGACGAAATTTTGTTTCTGTTATTTTAGGGTTAGTTTCTTGATTGGTGCTTTACTGTTTGTTTGTTTATATAACTAATGGACAAGTTATTGTTTATGATTAGATTGTATTATTTGGTTAAACAAGGTTTTAAATTACTGTAATAACGGGAAACAAATTGTAGGCCTAAACAAAACACAACCTCTACATAAACTGTACAGAACTAACAATAAAATTGTATTCAGCTGTTCTATAAGGATGAGAAATCTACTAAGGGAGTATGTTTTATCTATGGTAGAACCCTCTTAAGTAATGATCTTTACACATTAAAAGCTCTAGAATGTGACTTAGTTATAATATTTTTTATTGGTAGGATTTATATTTTAAATTAAAACATAGACCTACCGTTACAAATTTTGACCTTATGTCAAAAGTTAATTTATTTTGTTGCTATATTTTCTGTATGAAGTAGGGTACCTAACTTTTTTATGTCCGGATATTTTTTAAATTTAAATTACTTATAATTAAATTTTTACTTATTGCAATACCTTATACATTAAATACAATTTGGTAGTTTTTTAACTGAGATCCAACTAAACTTGATCAAGGGTTAACACGTTCACTGCTAATGACGCACTTGTGCGTCATAAGTATATTAGCAGATATATAATACATGATGTATTTAATTACATAATATATTTTAATCCACAATTTATAGTATAAAATTTATTTAATTAAAAATATATTGTCACTCAATTAACATGATCATGTTAATGTTTATGTTTTTTAGCCATTTATAAAAGTATTACATATCATTAACAGTGAATGTGTTAAATATATGAGTTGCAGCAAGTGCTATCTTAAAAATAACAATTTAAAAGTTTTACTTAAAACGTTGTTTGAGTCCGATTCCTCTGGTTTAAAGTCACATTACATTCAGGGACCTGTAGACTCAAGCCTACAATTGGCTCTGGCGTTGTCGGCCTCTCTACACTCGGCTCAGGAGGTTGAAGTCATACAGGAGGCGGAAGCACTCAAAGAGGCCGGACTCAGTGAAGAGGCTGAACAAAAACTAAGCACTCTGGAGAAGTATGGGTTCGCCTCGGATTTCCCCATTCAGTCGACCAGTGTGGCAGGTTGGTATTGAAATGTTTCTCAATACATTGATGATGAACGGTATCAGCATTCTGACACATACTTTCTCCTATTAGCTCGTCAACAACCTTTATCATGGGTGAGCGGTAAGAGTAAATATGATATTTTAAAATCATAAAAGTTGCAGTAACTTTTGAACCGTAATTGTTACAGCAATGTACTTTTTTTTAGAATTATGAGGACCATACGATATTAATTTTGATCAAAACCTGCGCAAATCAATTCTGCGCAAATCAGATTTTTTTTTTATTTTAAGTTTTTTATGGGAAAATAACATAGGTGCCTTAAGTTACAATAACTTTTGAACCGTAATTTTTACGGAAATGGAATTTGTACCATTTTGTTCAGAATATAAAGGACTATAACATGCTAAATTTTTAAGAATAGCGTTCGGGCCATTTTCGAGAAAATCTGATTTTTCACTATTTTATGGGGTTTTATGGGAAAGTCCCCATTGAAAATCCAAATTTCAAAAAAATAAAACAATTTCAAAATGTTAATGACCATAACATACTAAGTTAAATCAAAACCAGTTTTCTAAAATCCAATTTTTTGTTATTTTATGGGGTTTTTGTGGGAAAAGAACATAATTTACAAATAACTTTTGAACCGTAATTTTTAAACTAATGGGAGTCGTACCATTTTATTCAGAATTTAAAGGGCTACAAGGTACGGTACTAAATTTTTATTAAAATCGTTCCGGCCATTTTTTGAGAAAATCTTATCTTTCCTTTATTTTATGGGAAAATCTACATTATAAATCAAAATAAAAAAAGAATGCCTGGAGATACCATGGATTAGAACCTACACTCCAAATTTCATTGAAATCGGACCACAGGTGTAGTCCCTAGCTCTGTACACATATCCAGACGCAAAGACACACACACACACACACACACACACAGACATCACTTCGAAAACCACTTTTTTGGGTACAGAGGGACCCAAAACGGATATATCCACTCCAACTCAAAAATGTTGACGAAAACAATACTTTCTCCATATACTGGTATAGGGGGAGAAAGTAAAAATTTACTGGATGTATGTATTGTTTCAATATTTGATATTTACAAAGCCAAAATATCAAAAATAAAATTATACTAAGTTAGTGATTTAAACAAAATTAAGGTGACGGCAGATTGTATGATTGTTCTGCGGTGGACAATAAAACAGTTTAAACAGCAACTAAATAAAACTTTCTTGTCAGAGAAACAAACAATATAAACAAGGACACAAATACAAAAGACGTAATGTTTTGGCTGGGTTCCATTATCAAACATCTCAGCCTAGATAATGCATTAACTTGCTTAAGTTACAACACATGTTCAATGCTTGACTCATATGACATCAAACTAAATGTTTTTTATAAGATGTTCCTTTTGTTACAATGTTACATTTCTGGGTCTATGAGTATGACAAACTCAAATTGTTATTGTTTAAATGGAGTAGGAGTATGGTAGTTATTTTTTATCTAATTAATGTACCAGTCTACATGTTCTTGCCTTGTGTTAGCAAAACATATTTTAAGCGAGCTTAGGAAAGTTTAGATGGCCTTCTGTGGTGTGTATATATTCATAAAATTATAGGTTTATTCCTCTTATGTTGTAGGAGGATCCAAATGCCGACCTTTGCCTTCTTCGCTGCTCCTCAGACGAACTCAAGAAGATCGAGAGAGAATTGTCACAGAGAAAGTTGCTATTGTTCTTATTACTGAAGAAGAAAGTGTTAATTTTAATCCCTTTACACAAACGGAACCGACTTTGAAATCTAAACGTTTGAAGGAAAAATGGAACAGTGTAAGTTATTACAACTTATAATAACTTACACACATGGTTTCAAAAACATTTTACTTTCTCCCCCAATATAGCCTGGTACCTATAATGGAGAAAGTATTCTTTTTCTAACAGTATATTACGTTACTAGTCCTGAAAATAGGTGTTTACCGGACAAGTGTGGTCACCATACAAGTCCGTTAAACACATTTTGGACGAATGACGTACAATATTTTATGCCATATCCTTCTACTCTAAGCTAACTTAACAATAAAAAATCTGTACAATCCTAATATATTTCCTCCAACTAAAGGACAAAAAATCACTACTAACCTAACTCACTACTAACCTCTTAGAGAGGTTATGTTTTTGTTTATAACCACTCATTTTCAAATAAAATCAGCTGGTTGGTGTCCCGTAAAAACTCATTACAGTATAGTAGTATGTAATGAAATCCCATTTGATTAAGCTGGCGGCAAACAGCTGCTTCCTAGACTCAATCAACAGTGTATTGTGGAGTAAAAATTTTGAAGTTATCTGTTTTGGGTCCTTCTGAACTTCCAATAAACGGTATCAGCATTCTGACACTTACTTCCTCCCATAAGTTTGTCAACGACCTTTATCATTTGTAAGCGGTGAGAGTAAATATACGGAAATGGGATTTGTACAGTTTTGTTCAGAATTTAAGGACTATAACATACTAAATTTTTAACTAAATCGTTCGGGCCAATTTTTAGAAAATACATTTTTCCGTTATTTTATGTTGTTTTATGAGAAAATCCCCATTAAAAATCTAAATTTCTAAAAATGAAAAAACTTTTAAAATTGTAGGGAATATAACATATATACTATGTTAAATCAAAACCGGCTTTTTTTCTAAATTCCTTTTTTTGTTATTTTATGGGGTTTTATGGGAAAATAACATAATTATTTACAAAAACTTTTGAACCGTAATTTTTACATAAATGGGATTTGTACCATTTTGTTCAGAATATAAAGGACTACAGTATAACATACTCAATTTTTATCAAAATCGTTCTGGCCATTTTTGGGAAAATCAGATTTTTCTGTTATTTTATGGGGTTTTATGGGAAAATCCCTTTTAAATATCAAAATTTCTAAAAAAAATTAAAAAAAGATCAAAATTATAATGACTATAACATACTATGTTAAATTAAAACCGGAGTTTTTCTAAAATCTTTTTTTTTTGTTATTTTATGGGAAAATAACAAAATTTACAATAACTTTTGAACCGTAATTTTTACAGATATGGGATTTGTACCATTTTGTTCAGAATTTAAAGGGCAGCACCAATCTTCAAAAACACAACATAGGCTACACAACATACTAAATTTTCGTTCGGGCCATTTTTGAGAGAATTCTATTTTTCCGGTTTTTATTGGAAAATCCCCATTAAAAATCAAAATTTGAAAAAATAAAAAAAAAACGCCTGGAGATACCATGGATTAGAACCTACATACCGTACCAAATTTCATCGAAATCGGACCACAGATGTAGTCCCTAGCTCTGTACACATCCAGACACACACACACACACAGACATCACTTTGAAAAACACTTTTTTGGGTCCAGGGGGTCCAAAACGAATATATCCACTCAAAACTCAAACTCAAAAATTTAGGGGGGAAAGTAAAAAGTGGTTTTCAAAGGGATGTGTGTGAGTATGGATGTGTACAGAGAAATTGTATTGAAATTTAGTATGTGGCTACTAATCCATAGTATCCCATCAAATAACAGAAAAATCTTGTTATCACAAAAACGGTTCAATAAATGTTGATTACCATTAAATTTATGATTAATTAGAATGTTATGGTACTTTTTAACTCTTAACAAAATGGTACCACCTACAATTCTTTTAACATGGTTCAAAAGCTATTGCAGTTTTTGTGATTTTACTTATGAAATATAGTTACTCCCACCAGATCAAATTGTCGACAAATTTTGTCAAGTTGTCGACAATCCATTTTACTGGGTTGTTGACAAGCTAATTCTAATTAGCTCCTGAAAGTATGAGTCAGATTGCTGATACTGGTTATTTAACTTGAGTTTTGACTTTGGTAGATACCCAAATCTGCAGGTCTTAGAATTATTACATACATAGCTTAATTTTAAAGACTGTGATTGTCTGGAGTTGAACCCACGTCTCCAAGACATAACTCCCATGCCCACACTTCTAGATCTACCCCTACCCCATTCCTGTATATAATTTATTATTTTTCAGTGAAGGAGCTGCAAATAATACATCATGCAATTCCTTTAGGGTTCATTTTCTATTTGTGTGTATATATTTCTCAATCAGTTGTAGAATGATCAGTGATACTTTGTTTTTTATTTATCTGTGCTTTCTATGATTTATTTTTTTCGAATAATTTTACAGAATTAATAATTTTTTCGAATAATTATTTTTAATAATATTTTACAGGATTGCTACCTGTGGCGTAAGTCTCTGTGTCCAGAAAGTGAAGAGCGAGATGCGTTCTACGTCAAATCACTGGCCAAGTTTGTCAGTCCCAGTAAGGCAGAGGTTGGGGAAGGGTTGAGAAGATTATCCCAACTTCCCGGTCGAATGAATACTCCGGTGAATATCTGATTAAAATATTTCTACTTCTTTTACATGGTGTATTTATTTTAAAATTTGTGTGTCAAAGGCTCCCTGTGAAGTGACAAATCAGTTTTTGGACTTAACCCACTTAAAGTTTACATCCTGGTATCTTACTTTAGGTGTGTAAATGCATTTTAAAGAAATATAAGACCTATTAAGAAATTTTATTTCATGTTTTAAAAGGAATGATTTTTATAGTAGGCTATAGAGCCATATATTATTATGTTATATAGTTATACTATAGAACATATTATTTGCTAATCATAGAGGCACTTATGGTTGTAATGGATGAGCTTTGAAATTAGTTTTAAGTTAAAAATTTGAGTTCCTCGTCGTTATCACAGCACTGTGCTGCTAATCGAAGGTTCACTCTAGGAAACAAGTGAAAGCCATTCGGAGCAAGATCTTGATTGTAGAAATAGTGAATTTTTTTACTGTTTTTGAGACTTGTTTTGTGTTAGGAGGATTAAGACAGTTGGTGTTATAACTTTTATTCACAACTATTTATTTTGTTGTGTAGCTGCATGTTTTTGACTGCTTTAGCTTACAAATTTCATGAATTTGTCATTTTTTTTGTACGTATGGTGTTTTAGGAAAAAGATGATATTGGCGATCTATTAACACCCAGCAAAGAAATTGCAAGTAACTGTGTAAGTAAACTCAAATAGAATTTGTTTATTTTTATTGTTTGGTTTTAAGCTTCTATCAAAATATATGTTTTCCTATTTCAACAATTACAGCTAGAAAAATAATTATTTCACTAGGATCTACTATTCAAATCCCAGACAGTTTGGATCTATAATTATTCAAAGTGTTTTGTGTTATCAAAATACTTGTTAAGTGAAAAAAAAACTTTTCTACAGTTAAAGATATATTTTATTCTATGAAGTGACCTAATATACACATTGTGACCTGTTACAGTACAAGCAAGATATTGCCAACCTTCCTACTCCTCTAGCTATAAATAGAGGGAAGAACATTGATATATCTTCTGGACATCAAATGAACTCTTCATTCTCCAGTAGTAGTTCTCTTGCTGAGGATTGGGCAAAGCTGGTAAACAAAGACGTTTTAAGTGACATCAAGATAAGGTGCAAAGACTCAGTGGTTATTCCTGCGCACAAACTTGTGTTTTACGCCAGATGCCCCAGAATTTTAGACGAGATTGAGAAAAAAGGAAATGATAGGGATCTCCTTGAATGGGAAAGTGTTACTGCTGAATCAGTTCTAGCTTTCTTAGAATTTGTTTACTCAGGAAAAACTGATAAATTACTTCTCTTGGAGGATAGTGATATTTCAAGTGTCAAGACTATTGCTGATAGACTTGGCTATAATCAACTGAAAGACAAATTAGGTGAGATGCAGTCTTTAAGTGAATCAAAGAAGGCAGATGTGAAGAAGAATTTGTTTGATGTACCGGTAGATCATAAAAATAATATTCGTGACAGTATTGCAGACTATTTTAATTCAGGTGACCTTAGTCAAACAGATAATTCTTTTTCATCTCTACACGGTTCTGGCAAAAACTGCGAGGAAATGTTTTCAAACACTCCAGTAATTAATTCAAACAGTAGAAATGTAAATTGTGGAAGGGAATCACCCGACCTGTTTGCAGATTCAGGTGTCACAAATATTGCAGATGACTCCTTGCAAGAAAGAGAGGAGTTGGATATACTTGTGAGTTTAATAGGAAAACCAACTCAGCAGGGTGTTGGCAAAAACAAATGGAGCAATGATGAGGAACAGGAAGAAATTATGGTGGTAGAATCTCCCTTAGGAACATCTACTAGGGATTTGCAAGATGTTGCCATTTTGAGAGGAGTCAGTATGGGGAAGAGGAAAGCATCAACTATTAGTTTTAGTGATGATGAGGAGACCTCACTTTCAAAAAAGCACTGCTCTAAAAACAATGAAAGTTTTGAAAACAGTTGTAGAGATGATGCATTTGATTTAACCAGAGACAGCAACCCTCCCAGTGAAGAAGAAATTGATCAAGGTAACAACAAAAACAGTTCTGAAGGTTCAGTAAAATGTGCATCTCAAAATTCCAAAATGGAAAACCAACATGAAGAGGAAACTCTGGATTTAACTCAAAGCAGCAAGTCTTCTGATGATGAGGTCTGTGAAAGTAGTAAAAAGAGCTCAAGGATGAGTCTAGATGAGTTAGACAGTCGTGGCTCAATGGATGATCTTACTCAGAAGAAATCTGTTTTGGAAAATTCAAAAACTGATTACTGCCAGGACTCTGATAAAGATATGTCTAGTATTTCTAATTCCATCTCAAAAAGTCAAATTAATAACGATCAAAGAGAACTAAGTGACTCTTTAGATGACCTCACTCAGAAAACTGTTGATGAATCTGTTTCAAAAAATGATCCAAAATCATGTGATAGACTTCATAATGAAAGTCACAGTTTTAATGTTAGTACTCCAAGCAAGTCACCAGCAAAATTTGTTAAAGACGATTTTATTGGAGATATCAGTACGCTTTGTACTCCTGAAGCTAGGCATATTAAAAATAATTCTTCAAAAGCTTCATCAGATTATAAATCTCAGCTTTCTAAATCGTCTCGATCACTTACCAACACTTCTTTCAAAGAGGTACAGGGTGATGCTTTAAATGATGGCAACTACGATCAATATTATAATGACCCAATATGGGACGGTTACGATGATTACTATCATTTCAACTATGAAGCTCATACATCTTTTCAAACACCGATAAAGAATTTAAAAGACATATCGTCAACTTCAGGAAAATCCCGATCGAAACCATTATCTTCTCCCGATGTTTGCACAACAGATACTTCCTTGACTAAGGCATTGCAAAAGAAGTTATCTCAAGAAACCAGCCCTATATGTAGTAGTTTTAAGAGCATAAAATCTATTTCTTCTGACAATTCTGAGAAATCACCACATCCGTTGTCCCAGAAAAGGTTAACACCAAGTAGTTCAGGTAGCATAAAATATATTGCTTCATCAGATAGCAAATCTCCCAAACATTTATCACAATATTTATCAAATTCCCCATCACCAAGAAAAACTTTAGGAACATGTCACAGCTTGTCCATTAATGACTCAGAAATTGAAGTAGTTCCAGATATGAATTCCCCCAATACCATTGATTCACTGAAATCGAGGAAAAATCTTGCATTTGAATTTGTAACGGAATCAAGTAAATCAAAAAACATTTGCGCCGAAGATCTTAGACACTTAGGAAAGGATGCAGAAAATGTGGCCACAAGCCCAGGAAATACTTTGAATGTAAGAAAAGAGAGCTGTCTCAAGAAAGATTCATTAGAAGCAATGCAACGTCTCTTGGATGATTCTTTTGAAGTTAATAATAGTTTGTTGGATGCTGCCGATGCATTAGCTTCTGGAAATAGGGGAGAATCTAAAAGTATCTCTGGAGAGGCTGTGACAGCTGGGCCTTCTAGTAAGTCTTCTCTGGACACTCCATCTCCAGGCATCATTGTATCTGATAAGGTCACACCCCTTGCTGACTACAGTGCCATGAAGACACCTACGTTAAAGGTAAGCTTAAGTTTATTGCGATGTTTATCTTATTCAGGGTACCCACTCACCCTTAAAACCTTGATCCTACATTTTAGCTGTTAAAAAAAGTGAAGTGTGAAATATAAACCGGCACACAAGAAGATATTAGGGTAGCTACTTTCAGCGTTATTCTAAGGCATATTTTGGTATTTTGGATTACCTTTTGGATTTATTTAGTTAACCCATTACATAAACAAAATTCAATGAGCTTCCAAAACAGATTAGGGAAATCTTCATTACCTCCTTACTATGAGCGTGCCTTGCTAAAACCAAACAAAGTCCTGCATGTTTATGATCTTGATTTTTTACCCCTAAATTTTTTAATTTATTGGTGACTATATATATCATATGTTATAAGATTTAGAGAAGGAGGGTAGAGATGAATTCAGCCCTGTGTAGCAGGGGCTCTTGAATATTCCTACAACATAATATAACAATCCGTAGGCTTCAAATCTTAATAATTTTTTTTCTGTTCTGACAGTCAAGTACATAACTTCGTATTTAAAACATGTCTGTTTTGAGATTGTTCACATTTGTAGGTGGTGGAAGACAGTAATCGTAAAGAATATCAGTTTTGCAGAAAGAACTAAGTAGATTTGGGCTGAAGCCTTCATTGGATCGTCGAAAAGCCAAGTTGCTGCTGAGGTATATCTACGATCAAACACATCCGGTGGTCCCTGACTGTGAGCAGGGGAGGGGAGAGTTCAGGCAACCCGAGGGCCGACCCCCGCGGAGTCCGAGGAAAGCAAACGTTGCTGTTGTGGCAACTGGCAAACCAAGATCTCCATCACGCTCTCCGAAGAAACCAGAAATCGTGACTTTGAATGATTCTGATTCAGAAACAGAAGAAACTTGTTCTCAAATGAGGTAAAAGAAGAATTTTAGTAGATAATTCATGTTTTTGTTGATACACCAGTCATGCTAATCCAAACTAATTGGTACTGGACCCTAATCAATCAGGTTAGCTGATTAGCTAATAATGCAGTAAAATTGCATACAAATTAAGTTATGTACTTTTATGTCTGTAGATAGCCATGTTGCTCTTGCGATCACAATACTGTGATCATCTAACACAATCATAGTAACTTGATAATCATTTCCTGTGATTTGGAACACTAAGATTGTCTTCTATGATTGCAGAAATATCCATGGTTATCCAACTTGATCGTAGCAACAACCATGATTATCTCATAAGAAAAATATGTTCTTCCCACTAATTAACAAACCTTAAAAGGAAACCAACTATAACAACATTAATGAAAAGGCGCTAGACCATAGACTTTTGGCAATTATTCCAAAATGTCCAGTTTAAAAAAAATTCTCAACTTGTTATCAATTTAATCTTAATAAAAATATAATATTGTTGGGTAGCACCAGTAGCAGTATATCATCGTCTGCATCTCTTCCAGAAGAAAGCTACCACGAACCTGAAGATATTCTGACACAGGATCTTACAGAAAAAGGTAGGCCTATGCTTACTTTTCTGCAAATGTTGGTTAATATTTTAAGTAATAACTGCACATTGTGTTTGCATGGACTGGTAACGTCAATTCAAGGTCAGCAAATCTTGAGCTGACGGAACTCTACGTCCCTACCAGTGCTGGTTGTGTGGTTAATGATGTGTAGTTTGTCATCATGTCTTGTAGTAATCCTACCAAGAAATTCCCCTTGTTTGGAAAGGTTGGTAATTTATCACACTGTTGGTGACAAACTACAAAAAAAGTGATTGAGATGGGTACCAAAAATGTTGACGGAAGAATATTTAAATTAGCAAATGGTACATTCTTTTTTTTTTTGATCGTTATCACAGCCCAGAAACAGTTAGCGTGGTGACAATTTTTATAATGTAGATTACACACTCTGCGTTTAAAAAATTTGACTAAAAATATTAGTAGTAGCTTGTATAGAGCCAAAAACATAACAATTTGACTTATTTGAGAAACATTTGGTTTCATAGTTTTTTTTTTCCTAGAACACTAGGCACGAGCCTGGGTTTGTTTTTCATATTACTTATGGCATGACCTAGGGGTTGCGGCATTATGTCTTTGATAAAATCCATTGGTGATTTGAACCCGGGACCTCTTAGACCTAAGTCCCGCGCTCTAACCACTAGACCAGCTCGCTCCTCTTTGGTTTTATAGTGGCGTTGCCATTGATGGCCTTTGTAGTAGTAAAATTTGAAGAATAATACAATTTTCTTTGGTTTGTGGTATTTTGTAGGAGATGTGAGGTCGGCTATCAGAAAGCTAATCACAGGGGACCTCCAGTTGCACAGGAAGGTGCTCATGTATGAGCCAATCCAACTTGAAGAGCTAATGGCTAGATTAAAGACAAATGGTATCAAAAGCAAGACCAATGATGTCATGGACTTCTTAGATGAACAGGTAATGTACAGGCTGTTCTAAACTGGATCATGTAAATTTATAATGGTACTCATGCTTTATGTATTTACTATTGGCATCGCCTGTGTCTTGGGTAAAGTAGTCTTCCACTTGGTTCGGATGATCACCAGCATTTGACTTGCACATTTGCGCCAAACTGTCCCATCTAGGGTCGCTTGGAACGAACAAAATTTATTTTGGTTTGTATAGTATTGCATAGAGAGGTTTTGAAATGTATCCATTCATAATTTTCTCTTTATTTCAACCCATGAAACCGTTTTCCAAAATATTGGTACTTTACTTGGAACACCCTGTACAAATAGAGTTTTCAATAGCTACTAATTTTACTGAGTGGGTAAGGGTAATACATCGTTTTAAGTGATTGAATTGAAATGATTGGAATGACAAATTTCTTTCTCCTTGCAGTACGTTTGAGATTTTACAATAATTTATCTTTCAGTGCATCACTTTTCGGACAAATAGTTGGAAGGCAACCAATGAGAAAAGGAGACAGAAAAGTCCAAAGAAGAAAAAACCTCAAAATGCAGGACCTTCCGGCTCACCATTGAAAGACAAGGCACCGGTTGTTAAAAAACGTGGTCGACCAAAGAAAACCAATAGTTAAAATTTACAACTTCTGTGATTTATTAGTATTACGTTATGTACAGTGTAAATAATTAATTTTTTATCACATTTTAAATCTTATACTGTTTTGGTTTGTTGAAAATGTCTAATTTATGTATAGAACTATTTGTAAATTGTTATTATGTAATATATTTCAACTTTGTTATTTGAATATTGGCATAAATAATCAGTTATACAGTCAAATTATGCTTCCTTTTACCTGAAAAATATTTAATAAATTGGTATGTTTCATATTAATACATGCATGTTTTGTAATTTCAGTTATCTGTCTATTATAAAAAAATTTTTATCTCTATTCTTACACGACATGGTTTTTATGTGAGGTATCAATTAATTTATACATAGATAATTTCGGGCCACCACAGTTCATAACATAAGCAAACACAAACACACATAAATAAATAATAGACCAAAGTTCTTAGTTGTGCTGCACCAAGTCAACGTGAGGGGTTTCAAGGTACTTCTTGCTTCTCATGTAAACATTGTGAACGCCTAAACACGACCGACAACCGACCACGGTGTTGAGGGGAGCGGAGGCTTTGTTATCTCGATCAGCATAATTGCACTATCTTCCTTTGTTTCGACCTCCCTAAGCAACTTTCAATTTCTTCCTCTACTAACGGATTATAATCCGGGCTGATTTCAATGGATGCTGTAGCCAATGGGTTCTTATCTGATAAAATAAATAATTCCTCCTATTATTTATTTTTTCCAATTTGACTCCTTGTAACGATGCCCAATGTCATAAACGTGTTCAGATATTTTGGAACCGTAGGTTGCACGTGTATCAAGATTTTAGGAACAAGTTTAAGAGCTGGTCTCGATGTTTCACCTACACAAGCATGGGACCTTGTACACCATGTTTTTAGGAGGTTTCACCTTGGATCCGTATCTTCGTATAACATTTTTTGTGGCAGACCGTCCTAATTTTATGCTTAGCATTCACGCGCCTTATTTTCTCTGATGTTCTCTAGAATCGGACTGATCAATGGCCAAGCAGTCTAGGGCATTATTGCCTCCCTGACCCAACCTTGAGGGAGACCTTTGACAGGTTTGAATTGAATAGTGGACACATCCTTTATGTTGTATGATTTAACTGGTTGAAACATAGTACGACACAAAAACAGCAAAGTGGTTCAAAACATTTGAGATGTATAGGAACAAAATTAAACTAACATATACCTTAAAATCATGTTTTATTATTTGTTGGTCAGTAAAATTAGTGATGCAAAATCACTAAAAATCTCAGTCACATAGAATACATGTTATGAACAAAGGAAAGCTGCTCTTTTACATGGCCAGAAAATAAACATTTGACTTCAAGGAAAACAATAAATAAATAACAGCTATATTAATCCTAAACATACATAGAATATTAAATAAATAACTTACCTCACCTACATCATAGACCATATACATACAAATTCATTTTCTAAATAAAAGATTAAAGCAGCCTCAAATAAACATTCCATGTATAAACAAGACATTTTAACTACAGAACCAATATACAGGGTGACCTAAACTCTCAAAATAGTTTTTATAGTATCTTAGGTCAAGATAAAAATGTATAATCATGGTAGCCTATTATAAAATTTATACTTTGGTGGTAAAAAATTAGGGACCTGTGGGACGGACTTTTTCCTTTGGGTCGGTCGGGCCAAAATTTCGGGGGGTTACTTTGGAAAGTATTGATTAAAAAAAATAATAATTTATTCTAATAATTCAATTGGTTCTACCTAAAATGGCAAAATTAAAAACAATGTTAGCGGTCACGGCTAATCTAGAACATATTTTGCAGTCTTAAATAAAAACGGTTTTTTGCTCGGAACAGGAACATGTCAACCGTTAGTATGACAGGCGTGATCGGTTTTTGTAAATATTTTTAATGTTTCCTATTGTTTGTATGTGTTACGTGTTTAAACTTCAACGACGCTACTTCAGCCTAGTTTTTGTAGTCTGACGATGGCATTGTAATGACAAAACCGCCATAACGTAGTTACACCACAAGAATTTGAGCTGCTGTGACGAAGGTAAAGCCTATTTTAGTTATTATACAGCTCAGGGGCTAAAAAATGGATTTTAATGCGGAATTAGTAAAATCGTGAACATCTTCCGTGATCATGGTGAAATTGTAAGTCTTTCGCTGTCACGGCAAAAACCAAGACATTTTCTAAGGATGTAGTGAAATTTTGAACATACTCTGCGGTTACGGCGAACTAGTAAACATTTTTTGCAGTCACAGTGACATCATTGTCTCCCATGATAAGGGTAAAACCATGATCATCACTTGCATTCGTGACAAAATTGTCATTTTAGATCACATTATTATCTCCATTGACACTTTCTGAGATCGCAAAAATAAAAGCGACCAACATTTTTCTAGCCAAAACAAATCTCTTGGGCTGGTCCGACCCGACCAGAAAATATCGGGGGCCTGCAGACCCCTAATTTGTATACCAGTTGTAACCCCCATATTGTTTTGGGTAACAGAACAGCCTAAACTTAAGATAATTACTATTTAATATTCATGTCCTACTAAGGTACTATAGTACCTACCCTGGTTAGGACTGTAATAGATAGGCCGTCGTTTTAATATAACGTATTCCAATTTTATAATAACAAATTCTTAATTCAAAGAGAGATTTGTGAAAAAAGCAAACAATGAAAAAAAAACTGCATTTTAGTCTTAATGCTCAAGTAAAAATATAGTGAACAGTTCAGGTCCACCCAGTATATTTCAACACAACTGTGAAAATCAAAAAGTTTATTATATTGTTTGAATCGTTATTTGTTATTGTTGACACATAAGAAGTTCTACTAACAACAAATCCATAGCGTAATAATAAGTACAAGTGTACTTAATGAGAATTAATACAAATTTTACAGAATGGTGGTTTGATTTTTCTTGATTTAAGTAGTGTTTGCACTATCAGCATTATCAATTTATGTTACAACATCATAAAATCCAACAAAAATCAGTCCAAAATAACATTCTACAATTAATTATAACAATACACAACATGTCGTCATTGCAAGGAACTAAATTTTAACTGTCAAGTCAGAAACAATAGCAACTTAATCTAGCATTGGCAGACTTGAGATTCTAGATTTTAAAATTTGAGTCACTTTGTCATTCTTAGAACTAATTTGCACAATATCTTTTCTTTCAACATCTAAAAAATTGTAAAGAAAATAATTATTGTAACCTCAACTAAAAAATATGAAAAAATAAAATCTCATGCACATGCAGCTGATTCTATAAACATATTGGCAACTAAGAATAAAAAACAATTAAGATAATTAAATTACAAGCAATTAAGATGTTTTTAAAACTGTTTAAGATACGTTAAAATCATACATTTACAGTTGTATTACAGTTTAGCCAGGTTAATTAATCTTTTATCATTTTTTACAATTTGGCACACCCTGTTCAAGTTTACCAACCCAAACCGTGAAATAACCAAAGTCCACATCTATGTATAAAATTTGCCAGTAATACTGTCACAAAATGAAAAGTAGGTTATTATTATACCCGACTGCTTCTGCGGAATGGACTTGGGTAGCTGAAACATAAGACAATACCGTATATAAGTGTTCACAATTTAACTTAAGAAGATAACCATTCCTAAAGGCTAAGATTCAGTTACAAAAATTATACCAACGGTACCAATACTTTGTGCTTGAACTTTCAAGAAGTAGTCAAAATTAAATGAAAGAATAGCATAGGCCTACATTAAAATCATTAGAAATGAGCAGATATTTTAACAATTTGGAATGAAAATTAAATGTAGTTTTAGAACGAAAGTAGGGACCTACTGTCTTTTTTTCTGTCAAACCCTATACATAGTAGCCTATAAATAATATAGGCCTTTGGATAGACTTTTTTTCCAAATGTCAATGTGTGAGTTTTGGGTAAAAATGTTTGTTTTAATCCTCCTTGAACCCTAGAGTGTTTTTCGAGTGAATTCTGAGTGTGTGTAGATGTGTAAGTAGCTACAGACTGTGTGTATGTAAATTTGGTATTTGGGTTCTTATTGCGTATCTACTGATGAAGAATTTTTTATCTTTTAATTTTTAATACAATACAGACTCTTTGAGATTGCAAAAATACCATATTGAGTCTTATCCACAATCAATTCCCATTTACACTAAACCGTTTTGACAATACTAAAATGCATATCAGCTGATCGGCGATTAGTGATGGACGAGACTAGATTTTTCACTTCGAGATGAGACGAGACGAAATTGTTTTAATTCCCGCGGGACAGGATTTTTTTGGAATGAGGTTTAATAAAAAGTAATAAAAAAATTTATATCTAGCCTACTTTTAAGTTCAGAAATACAAGTTTTAAAAACTTGACAAAAATATTTAAAATCTTTGATTAAAAAACATAAGTAAAAACATCAGTATATAACAAAATATTAATAAGGCCTAACTTAATAACTCTTCGGCATAGGAAACATGGAGATATCAGTTAGTATATATAGATAACCTTGAAAAATATTAAAAAAACAACTTTTAAGTCTTGTGTTATTATTTTTAGAATGATTTTGAAATGACTTATTTTGGCTGTGTTTACAGTAGGTAGTAAAACATGTCTCACACTGCTTACACTAACATAACTTCTCATCATTTGCAACTTCTTAAAAATTATAATACTATTGAAGCAATATTTCCATGTAAAGAATAAATTATTATTAACGCCTTCGCAAAGTTTTTTTTTAACTTTTAATTCTTTAAGTTTTTTTTATTTAAATTTTGAAATTTAAACAAATTTTGAAATTTGAAAAATTTTAATAAACTTTTAAATAAGAAAACTAAAATTTTTTCAATTTAAAAAACTAAAATTTTCAAAAATTAAAAAAAACTAAATTTAAAAAATTTTAAAAACTAAAATTTTAAGAATTTAAAAAGATTTTGTATATTTTAAAAATTAACAAAATTTTTAAATCACTAAAAAAATCTTTAAAATCACTATCGGCAATGAAGTAAAGGAAACAGGGCTTACAACCTTATTTTGCTTATAACAGTGAACCTCTAAATTTGGATTTGGGTTAAAAACCCTATTACTTAATGGCTAGCAAGACAAAGGAGCGTAAGAGCATAGGCTTATCATGTACTTAAACTCCTTAAAACAAAATAATTGACGGCAGATGTGACTTGTGACAGACTCACCCGTCATATCGGGAATACCTCTCAGTGCTGAGCCAGTCCTGGTATTTGTACCACCACTCTTCCCACTTGATGTAGTCCTGCAGTGTCAAGTCTCGGAGGTAGCCTTGCTCCTTGTAGTAGGTGTATCTCACTCTGACGTCGTCCCACGACCCCTCGGGGAATGAGGACAGGCTGCCACTGCAATGGACAGAATATGTATATAGTTATGAAACCGAAGGAAGGTTTATTCATCGATTAACAAGATTAATTGTAAATTGAAGTTTGTTGCTTGTTAATATAATTGTTGTCAATCATTCAGTGAATTAGTCTACCGTTACTTGTTTTTTAGCTTTACTATTGTTAGCCAACTAGAGTTTTCCGCCAATAAATAAATATCGGTTTACTTAACATCATAAGTTTTCTTTTTGAAATCAGTTTATGAAATTATGAATACACTAGATTTCTGGAACAAAGTTCTTGAACAAAAGGAGTTTTTGGAAAGGGTTCAGCTAGCTTACCTACGAAAATTGCAGACAAAAGGCTAATAAAAACATGTAAAAAATTATTGCGACAAAATTCTGATCATATCTCACGGCCATTATTAGACATCATTGTTATCTGCCATGGTCACAGAAACGTTTTTGTCGTCATATGATCAGAAAAAAATTCCTGAATTTGATCCCATTCTAGACTTACGGAGGAGATGGCGGGCTGTCCATGTGTACAGTCATGTGATCGCCTGCTGTGATTCGTAGGTTGCGATGCTCCATGTCTCGATCCACAGAGAACTGCGCCATCTTGCCAAACCTCTCAGACAGAGTGAGCCGTGGCCCTGGTGAAGGAGAGCTTGATCTGTCCGATTCAGACTCCACTTTGATGCCACGCTTTCGTCCGATCTGCCACAAAAAAACCATTAGGGATGGCATTAATGAATCTTAAATGTCTAGTACTATTTTACTGTCATGATTATTGTGATGAGTTACCAAAAACTAATATATGAAGTTGTGTCAAAACAAAATCTCAAAGTTATCTAAACTTTGAAAAAGTTTCAGTTTTGAGGTTTGATTGACGAGATTCAAAACTAAGTATTGATCTCATATTCATGTTATTATGTCAGTGTCAGAGTAAAAATTATTGTAATGTTTAATGTTGGTTGTTTGTCAAAAGGTTTAAAGTAGGTATTAATCTCATTCATGTTTTGGATAACAATGTAAAGTGTTTAATTTTTTTGGTGTTTGTGGTTCAACAAAAAAGATGTTTTTTTTAGATTTTGAGTGTATTAACTGTGATATTCAAATTATTATATCACGGTAAGCTTAAAACAAGCAGAAAAGGATTTTGTGTTAAGGTTTTGAGAATCAAAGTTTCTGGTTTTGACCACAACTTGTGTCAATTCTGCTCTAAAGGGACCCAGGTAAAAAATGTTTAAGCACATAGTTGATGAAAAATATAAATTTTAAAATTTCAACTTTACACTCACTTTCAAAACTTTCTCCTTTTCACGCTTGCGACTTTTGTTTTTCCTCCTTGGTTTTTCAACAACAGTAGTAGTTGGTTTTGAGCGAGGCACTGAGAATGATCGAGACCTGGGTTGAAAATAACAAAATTAAAAATATGAGTAAAAGTTTGAAAAATATAAAAGAATCAATAAATTATTGATTAAAGTATTTAAATATTTAATTACATTGACCTACTAACTAGTTTATAAGTAGAATAGTGTTTAACAGAAGTATTTTTAGGGCAAGCATGAGTGATTATGGACCCAGCTGACATAAAAATTGGCCTAAGGTGTTTAATGATCCTGGCTAAAAAATAACCATTTTTAGCCCATAACAAAGCCACAAAAGGCATTTAGGCCTATATATTACACACTCATCTTTTGCTCACATTTTAAGATAAAATTCACGGAGTAGCGTCAATATCCTAATGGAAAATATTAAAAGAAAAACATTTATAAATATGTTTGTTGTTTTAAATAAATCTAGATAACTTAGTCTTATTAAACAAAAACGTCACCTAGATCTAGTAACCACAGGTCTGGGAGAAGGGGGTCTCGCTCTCTCCTTGGGCCTCGCTCTATCCCTAGGTCTGTTCTTGGGAGAACAGACGGAGCAAGACTCATCAGAACAGCTGCTCACGGAACTTCCACTGACACTCTCAGAACGTCTCTGTAAAATAAATACTTTTGAACTAAGTAAATTTACTGTACTGACAATAATAGCTCTCTATGTCGCAGGGTCTACAAAACCAGAATTTATTTATTTCGGGTCAGGTCAAAATTGTTCTTGGGAGAACAGACGGAGCAAGACTCATCAGAACAGCTGCTCACGGAACTTCCACTGACACTCTCAGAACGTCTCTGTAAAATAAATACTTTTGAACTAAGTAAATTTACTGTACTGACAATAATAGCTCTCTATGTCGCAGGGTCTACAAAACCAGAATTTATTTATTTCGGGTCAGGTCAAAATTATTACCACAGGTCTCAGGCCAAAATCAGGTTGCTTTAGAATTGATTGAATTGTATATATTTGAAAAATTATAAACTAAGGAAGATGGGATGGATGAACAACTAACCTATGCTACATTAGAAAATAGTTCCTGGTAGTTAAGAGCACAAAGAAAAACTACTTTGTAGTTTTGAAATGATCTTTTTCATTTAATGATACATTTTCTTTGTGCAACTACCTGGCTCCATATCTTAGGTAACTTAGTTGCTTATCCAATTTCAAAATCCTGAGCGTCATCCATTGTCTGTGACTTAAGTTCTGTTCGATATTTTAAGAATTTGTACTATTAATTTTATTTGATTACATTTTTAATTTTAGGGCCTATGTTACAAATATTTTTAATGTAATATAGGCTATTCATTGACACTATTCAATGTACCAAGCATGTACAGATGACGAATAAAGATATTTTGATTTGATTTGATTTGATCCATTGTCACGTCAAAATCAAGAACATCTTCAGGTCACAGTGAAATTGTGAACGTCTTCAGCAGTCACGACAAAGACGAATGTCTTCTGCGTACATGGCAAAGTCAAGAAAATATCCGTGGTCACTACAAAAATGTGTATTTCGGGGTTACGGGACATCCTCGCAATCTCGGCCAAAACGTAAACATCACCTGTGATTTCCACAAAGTCGTCAATTTTCGTTTTGCATATCTTTGCAGACACTCTCTGCAATCATGAAAATAAAAGTTTAGTTTGGCTTAAGCCACCAAAGTTTGGCCTGAACGGACCCCACAGAAGTTAAAGGAGAATTAAATTGAAGATTATCACTAATTTCAGTAGGCCTATCAATTTGGAAGCTATAAGAAATTAATAATGTGATAGGCCTAAACAATTCTTGGTGAGAATGGAATTGAGAAACAATCACCCTTAAATAGTCCTAAAGAAAAACAGCAAGATTTATTGTATGTTTAAAAAAAAAACAGTAGGCCTACCTTGGGAGGAGGTGAGGGAGGTCTTCTCTGCTTTGATCTTGGTCTTCCAGGAGGAGTTCTAGGTCTTCCTCTAGCTGGTGACCTTTGTCTAGAGGACAGTGGTGATCTTGGTCGTCCAGCTGGCGATCTTGGTCTACCAGCTGGCGATCTTGGTCTACCAGCTGGTGATCTCGGTCTACCAGCTGGTGATCTGGGCCTACCAGCTGGTGATCTTGGCCGTCCTGCAGGTGATCTAGGCCTACCAGCTGGCGATCTTGGCCTACCAGCTGGTGATCTTGGCCTACCAGCTGGTGATCTAGGCCTACCAGCTGGCGATCTTGGCCTACCAGCTGGTGATCTTGGCCTACCAGCTGGTGATCTCGGTCTTGCAGCAGGCGATCTCGGTCTGGTTCTAGGAGACCTTGACCTATAACAATCAACCACTAATGTGAAAACTAAAAATAGTAGTAGACTGGATGAGTTATTGAAACAAATCGATTGTACAAGGGACAATTAAGCAATCTCTGATCTTTCAGAATAAACACTTAACGAACAGCAGATAACAAGCATGCACGGAAGGCAAACAGGTCAACTTCCTTCAAGCTGTCGGTCTCTTATGGTACAGCAACAAAACAATTACCATTATTGAGTCTTCTGCTAGAAATGAATTGCCAAGTTATTAGTTTTTTGCAATTAGGAGAGAGAATAGTAAAGCAGAAACTCATTTGCCGAATGTATAGAGGAAATTTCATTAGGTAGTGATTTGTAAATGGTACTTCAAGATGGTTGAATTGTCAGTTTAGTCAAATTCAACATTAGGGTCTGAGGACCTTTAGCGCCAATGGGCTGAAAAGAAGTTAGGGCCTATGTGTTTTTTTTTTGTTTTTTTTATTATTTATGAGTAAAAGGTTATTGTTTAGGCCTATAGCTCAAATCATCCCTTAATCTGTTATTATAGGCTAAAGAAAAGCATCCCCACTGACTGCCGAGACTGCTGTAAATCCCTAACATACACAGCGAGATTTTCAAAAGTTGAGAATGTAATGTTTGTAATACGAGTGTATGACTTACAATAACCAAATAATAAGATGTGCTTGACCACTGAGTGTCTCAAAAATTTTTCTCTTCCAAAGATGTCTAAAAGGTGAATAAATATTAGTTACTAAGTCCAAACACATATCAAAAGTGAGCCCTCAAAGGTGGTACTGATAAATTACATTATGTACTAACCTCCTTCTAGGGTCCTTAGGTTTAGGAGACTTGGGTCTAGGTGATTTTGGTCTGGGAGACTTTGGCCTCGGTGACTTGGGACGAGATGTCTTGGACCGAGACGAGCTGGAAGACACTTTCTCTACCTTGCTGGCACTACTCTTGCGTGGCGGAGACGGAGGTCGAGTGGTGGGTTGGGGAGGTGACTTAGGCCACCCCGCGCCACGAGGAGGAGGGGTGCGAGACCTAGACCGGCTACCAGAAGGACTCTTGCTTCCGTACAACTCCTTGAAACCACTGTGACGCCACCTTGGAATAATTATTTGACTTCATTGACCGTATCCGAAATGTGGATGTGTAAAGTGTTACACATTACTACAGGAAGGAATAGGCTAATTCAAAACAATACCATCTGTTTTAAATATCCAAATATGAACAATGGAATAGAATAATGGTAAAGTGTTATACATGACGTTAAGACAGGAAAAAATATGAATAAACAAATACAAATATTGGAATACGAATAACACACCATTAACTGATATTATCTAGTTAGGGTACCAACAAGGACTAAAACAGAATTTTTGTCAGAGGAGCCAGTACCAGTACCCATTCTGAAAAAGTAGTACCCAACACCACTATGAAACAGACTGATATACACGTGTAAGTTACCAGGACATGACACTAGGTGTAAAAGATTGAACAAATTTTAAAAAATGCAGTAGGCCTAACTTGAAAGGGACTAGACCAAAATAGGCTATTGAAGTTGATTTCACTTTTACAATAATTATGGAAACCCGCCATAAATTATTAACTAGGCCTACCACACACCTGTTAGGATCTTTCTCTTCCACCTCGATGAGCTTCTTGTTCCAGTAGTCGCTCTTATCTGGACCTTCCTTACGAGCCTTCTTCATCACATTGTCCAGTTCCCTTCGCCTCTGTGGAGAAGCTAAAGTGGACAAATATAACACTAGATCATACTAAACTGGTAGACTATAGTCTGAATGATGGAACCTGTCTCCTGACTCTCCGTCCACGTGGGGACTGGCCAATGCTTTAAGGCCCGGGGCAGGGGACAGGTTCCATCAGACAGACTATATTCCTATTCATTGATATTATGGACTTAACATAGTACAAGTAGTAGACTCCTCATTTTCTTGTACAATCTGAAGCATCAATTGTACAATACGGCTAGAAAATGTTGCTGGTGATTGAACATATATAATTCCTTTTGCGGTTTACTATACCACAAGTTGATTACATCAGCATATAGACCATGGAATGGTTTGTAAAAAAATAATTGATTAAACCAGTTTTAAAGTTGGTAAAATAGCATAAAATAAGTACAAGAGTCAAAGCGCACATTAACTTTACTGGTCAGAAACATACTATTGTATTATCATTAGGTGATCAGTAGGGATGACCAATCGAGGAGTACTTTTGTTTTATCATATGCTGTTAGTTCTTACTTAATAGTAAGACTAAGTTTAATTCATTATAATTTTAAGTGGGCTTATTCACAAAATCTTAAATATTTAATCAACGGTTAAAATGTTCATTAAAATAAAATTTAACAGCAGGAATTAAGAGTAAATTGTATTTAAAGAACTTGCAGGTATAATGCATGAATTTAGCAGAAAACCACTTAAGTAAGTTTACCGCTATAGGTAGAGATTTTATAAATTATTAGTAGGCCTAAGTAAAGTTTAAGATGTATGGCTATCACTAACCGGAAGCAGGGGCAGCGTAAGAATCCATCCTCAGGCGAGAGGTTTCAGGGCTCCTTCGACGAGAAGACATCTAAGTAAAAGGAAAGAAACATTAAATCAATTACTTCAGACAGAAAAATATCAACTATCTAAGTATACCGATATGTTAGTATACATCTAGTTTTTAGGATATACACCTTCTGGACACCAGACCAAAAAGACAAACTTCATTAAATCATGGGACAGTGCTTGCCGTACAATCGAAAGGTGGCGGGATTGTTATTGAGAATAGCCAGTACGGTATTATTATTTTTGTGATGGTTTGGAATTGGGTCCAATTGACTTTAGGCCTTAAAAGATCATGAATGCAGCTGATCTTAGTCTGTAACAAACAAAGCTACATATTTAGCTTAAAATACTCACATGACACTGCTCATGTCTCAAAAGCAAAAATGATAACGGTCAAAATTTAAATGTAATAGGCCTAAAATACTGCATCATCAAAACCAGGGGGATTAATGAGCGTTTTGAAGAAATCTTGAAATTTCTCTTAGTTCCGGTGTCCGACAAGTTGTTTTAAAACATTTTTGAAAACATATCAGCTCTAAAATCACCCAATAGATTTTCAATATATATTATTAAACCAAAACTATAATTGGCTAAAACTTTAAAGTTTTCTAAGATGTAAACTTATACCTCGCTAAAATATTCAATTTCAATTACTTAAACTTAGCCATTCTAAGTGGGTGTTTCCCAGGTGTTATAGTCTGTATGATGGAACCTGTCTCTTAACTCTCCATCTACCTGGGACAGGCCCGTACTATAAACCAAGGCCAGTTCCAGGTAGACGGAGTTCAGGAAACATGTTCCATCATACCAGACTAATGAACACAAGGCCTACATAGTATTTCTTGCCATTAAATAAAGGTATGCCTAACAGAAATCATTGTGCCTATATGTAATCTAACTCATGACATCTAAGATCAGGTAGCCTACTTATTTTGAAGAAATTCAAGCATTAGTAAAACCTGTAGTGTACACCCGTATAGAATGGCCCTATTGGAGTATTTTAAGATACACTTTTGAAAGGTGTGATTTTTATTTTTAGTACCGTACTTCATATAACGCTATTAAGGATTTAGTTTAGCCTATAAAACTAAAACTAAGCTTCAATTAACTTACAACAGGTCTGAGTAAACATATATTCAATTCATAACAACTGTTTTAACTGTTAAACACTATTCAACCAACAGAGAGTAAGGAGTCAGAGAAAAGAGTACGGTAAGTTTTTGCATTGCAGACCTACCAGTGTAGGCCTAGTATCCTAATCCAAGCGATTCACTGTAAAATGCTGAGTTGCGGTAATCTATGTAGGTTGTGTTTTAGAAAATGATTTTATTGAAAAACACAAGATTGATTAGAAGATTAACTACATAACAAAAATTGTTTCATTTATCTGAGCAGCGACTTCAAACTTTTATTTTGTATCTTACTGGTACATTTACCATTTGGAAATCTAATAAGTGAGCTCTCATATTTAATCATTTAGGCTATCTTGGCAATTTAAAGATGCATTTAAAAATTTTAAAAATGCACTGGGCAGCATTTAATAATTAAAGCACAACAATTTTAAAATATATAAAATAAAATAATGAGGATTCTATTTTTTTTTACTCAAAAAGAATTTTTAAAGAATAGATATTTTAAAGATCAAACTATCAATCAGTTAGGTTAATGTCAATGAATTTTAACCATTAGGCTAGAATGAAATCAGGCTTGATTTATAAGTGGTACCGGGTACCTAGAGAAAAAAGTGTTCCAAACAAGTTACAATCATTTGAAGCAGGATGGAACAGCATCAAATGAAATTATAACGCCTAACACTTTTTTGACTAAAAAAGTCTACCACACAACTTAGTTTGATAACCGCTGGTTTAATGCTGTAAGTTAATTTGTAACAGTTTCAGTTGGATCCACAAAACCATAAAAAAAATTGTAAGCTTTAGGCAAAATTAATTATCTACTTATTAAAATTCATTTACGGCCTAACACAGAGAATATGCCTAGTAATTTAGCTTGACAAGCAATTCTTAGGCTAGGCTACCTGAGAAGAACCTAGAAAGGCGCTAGCCCATAGTATGGTTCTTTTACCTTACCAAAATACATTTTGAAGCTATCCAAATATGTAGCCTTGGAAATAGACCAGTCACATGCAAAATAGGCTGCTGGTTATTGAAGTCGATCAGTCTCGAAGGCTTGAAGGTACCCATGAAACGAACCGATAAATGGAGTTTACGCCCGGACTCCACAACGGCGACGACACGAATGATTCTTTACGTACACTTTAAATCACACAGTAAACAAACGAGTCATCCATAGTCGTAACTATCTCGAGGAGACAAAGTTATTAACGGCACAACGAATAAAAGAACAAGTACCGGTACCGATGGGCATACCGATACCGTTTCCCATACACGAATCGACCGATCGGATCCACCCGCACGTCGAAAAGCGCCTGGACCGAATATCGAGACGTAACACGTGTTTGAACGACGCAAAGCGACTCGATTTGGTAAAGACTTGGAAGACCACATCGCTAATTTGTTAAGAATGTGTTTTTTTTTTACGTTCACACTCAACAGGTTGAAAATCTATTTTTGCGAATAAGTACACAGCTGGTTCATAACATAGAAGTTATGAATATAATGCCGAACTACCGATTCACACTTGTATTATCTTCAATTAAAGAATTCCAATCTTCTTTGTTGACGATTCTTCATTTTCTTCTAGTAGGTGAACTGGTTAGCTGCTTGATGAGATCCTCAGAATCCTACAATCTTAGGCAACTTAATTGAACAGTCCTTTTACTGCCCAAGGTTTAAGTTAAGTGACCAATTGAGGATGCATGAACACTCTAACATTTTCTGAGTAATAGGCCTTCCGGCTAGAAGAAATAATACATCCTTGAGACAGGATGGAAACTAAAACATGAACAGTTATTTTTCTTACAGAATCTATAAATAGGCCTAACTTAAACTAAACTATTTTAAATAGGCTACCATTAGACATTTAACTTAAGTTATTTCTTTAAAAAATCATCATAGCATAGGTACCTATACTTTTAGTTTAGATGAAAAATTATTGACTTTGAATAAACTTAAGTTAGGTACTTAATGTAGTAGCCTATCTGTTAGGACAAAATATGATTTTTAATGTAGGCTATTGGGTCTCAGACAAAGGTGATTAAATATACATTGATGTGACTCTTGACAATAAGATAACTCACCAACAGATAAGTAAAGGCTTGTACCTAGAGAAGTTTTGGAAACAGTAACTTAGCCTATTTTGTAGACTCATTAAAACTTGCTAGCCTGTGTAAGTAGCCTAGTTAAAGACAACTTATTAAAGTTATTTTCAGGACTAGTATTGCTCATTTTAATTCCAGCTTTTAAGGGGCATAGTAGCTACACCTTGGATTTGGTTTCCATTTAGGCAATAAAAACTCCAATTGTTTTAGCTTAGCCCAAACTTATGTTTCCTAGCATCAAATTGAAATTAAGTTAATTACCGGTAAGTTACCGCTACCGGTATGCTTTTGTATAAATTGACAAATATGGAAGAAAAATTTGAAATGGTTTAGACAATTACAATTTAGCCTACTTGTTTGAAAGTTGGTCAAAGTTATTCAAATAAAACAAGACCAACAAGCCTAGTTAGTATTGGCTCTGCACCTTGAAATATTAAAATACAATCAATGTATATATCAGTGATAAGAATACATTTAAGATTGTTTATTATCACAACATGAATGTATTAAATACAAGTAGGGCTAGGATTACAGCAACAGAGTAAATGTAGGTCAAATATTCACAATGTTTAGATGTAACAGCCTAACTTAACAGAAACCTAAAACCTGTCCATCCATTAAGAATATAGCGACACTTAATGAATACACAAGAAAAATACGGACGAACGACGCACCTTCTCGATACTGAATTCAACGAACCGCTACGGCTCACGAAGTACTTAAATACTCGAGATGTATTTAAGTTAATAAACTTTAAAGAGAGAAAATGCTAATATCACAAATCACAGGACAGACGCCATCACACCAAATTGACTCTTTCTCTTTCTTTGACTGAAGAGGAATGTAAACTGATCTATAACCAAACAGTAGTGCCAACGTACACACAAATTCCACAGTTTGTTGAAATAGTGATATAGTGAGAACGTGTATAGTTTAATTTGACATGACGTTGACATGACTTTGTTCGTTTAAAGAATTGGAAACTGCTGTGCAAAATCTATTGTCCAAAATACGCGAATCTTTAACTTACGAATTTAACGCTGTGTGAACTAGAACGGGCCTAAAGGGCCGCAAGCACAATGGGCCGTGGCAGCGTTTTGGACAAAAACTACGTTTTCAAAATTAAAATCAATTTTATTTTCTAAACTGATTAATTCTACACGCTCGTGGGGGACGAGATGTTTCCGTTCCGAGATAGTGCGAGGTTTTCACGATTTTGTTGCGATCGTATTTGAAGAAGTTCGCATCGATCTCGTTATAGTGGGAGCTGTTCGCGAGCCGCGTTCGCGGGTAACGGTTATGGCGTCCCCGTGATTATCACAGGAGATGTTGACGATTTCGCCGCAATCAAAGGGTTCCCTTTTCGCACTAGGCTTTATTTTAGGAACGCAGTTAAGGTGTTCCATTAGTTTAATCCAAAGACAAAAGTATGGTCTGTTAGCGAGCTCACTCTATCTTCTGAAGGATGCCAGTTCAGTCCTGATAAAAAGTTTAAACGCTAATTTAAGGATCAAAACTAAGGGTCAAGCTTGTCTAGCCGGGTTAAAATCCAGCTAATCCCGGATTTCCTATAATGGCTCGACCCTCCAGGATATAGCCTGAAAAATGTGTAAAAGAGTGTAGCCACTTCCTTTACGGTCCGCCCTATACCTCTGCCGTTTCGTGTAAACGCAAGTGTTTGTGGGGCCCATGTTGTTTCCGAAATGCTACACTTAACGTAAAATCAAAGTAAGGGTGGCATTTTGAAGAGGATTAAAAATTATCTAAAGTATAGTGGTTTCATGTTTAATAACGTACCTTAAAGCCTTAAAATCTTATTTTGAATTTAAATTATTCATTTTCGACTCACTTACTTATAGTCATCGTCTTTGACGCAGCTAGTGGGATTGACAGCGTCAGATAGCCTTTGTTTCAGCTATTTCATTCCCGTGAATAGTAGGATATCTTCTGCATCTTCCAGGGAGTATACTCTGGCAGTCTGGCCATTTCTAAGAGCAACTAGCTCATGCTTTATGTGATTCTTGAAATTTGATTTTGGGACTTGCGAGGCTTTTTACGTCAGCTGAAAGGCTTGGAACAGTTTTATAGCTGCAATTGGGAAAGACTTTTGTGTTTTGCTCAGCCTGCATCTTTTGACTTCTAGATTTTGCGCTCTACAATTGGAGTTTTATGTTGGTGTATGGAAGTTCTGTCATTAAATAGATATCATTAAATATTCTGTTTGATGTAGTTCAGAGAGAGGTGAAAATATACTGGTTTTAAACTGCTGTGAAGATTCAGATTTTTTTAAAGAGGTTTAAAACATTATCCAATGCTATGAGTTAAAGCCATAACTCTTAGCGCATTCTTCTGCAGAATAAGAGCATCCGCTCAGGAAACTGAGGGTCCCCACAACAGAAGGCCATAGTTCAGATGAATGTGGGACAAGATGATAAATTCCCAAAAGGTAGTCGACAGTCAACGCCTTTGTCAATTTCCTAAGAAGACAAATGCCTCTTAATAATTTTGCACAAACTTTAACATGAAAATTCTAATCAAGCCAGAACAGAAGCCTAGAAGTTTGACTGGTTCATTGATTTCCTCCAGAATTTATCTTTTAAGAAACAATAAGATTCTTTGAGTCTTATCTTCATTTAGTTTTACTCATTGCTCTGGGACCATTTTTTTAGTAGAGGTAAAGGTTTCATTGGTATCTGACAGAACGTCTTCAGCGCTCAATCCTCTGTTTACCAAGGTTAAGACGTTAATGGTCTTTCCATTCAAGTCATCAAGTCTAGGTCATTTGTGTGGATGATGAAGAGCAGAGGGTCCAAAATACTTCCCTGCGTGACGCCATGTTCTACAGGCCTACATTCAGAGACAGCTGCCTTTAGAAAAAGGACACTTTCTATCTGTTTAGTAGTCGGTAAGTATGGAGTGCGAGGTTACTAACTCCATATAGGCCGACTAAAAGATATGGAGGGTTGAAGTCGTGGATTAATATAATATTTATGTTTACATTATTTTTTATATGTTAAAGAAACAACTAGCAATCGATGGCGAACTAAAGGCAACTAAAATAACAGAAAATATTTTGGCTGAAATCTATTAGAAGAGTACCACAATTAGGAGTAACTAAAATTGTTTCCTAACTGAACAGTTATATTTTATCATTGTCAACAACTATTAATCATAATTTCGAGATTTCAACCCCAACATCCCCATTGCATTTGTTAGCTGTTTGAGGTAATGTTTTTTTAATACGTCTCCTCGATTTTATATGAAACCTAAGAACAATCCAGGACAAAATGCTGCGGGTAATTTTTTAAGAGACTGACTATTTGAGCGTTCTGGTAAAGTGCGCGATGGAGCTATGAATTCCATTTCACGGTGCTCGCCCACCCCTACCCCTTCCACAAACGGCGTAACGTAAGAGGGAAGGGGGAGGGATGAACGATGACTCTCTTCCGTCTACGATATCTGCAATGATTTATCGTAATGGACTGCTCAATTTGTGAAACAACTTTCCTAATCAGTTAAGCTGTAAAAATTATGTCCTAAGTAAGATATGTGGGAGAACATGGTTGGTTGCTAGTGCACTTTATTTTTGGTTAGTGAACTTTCTCGCGAATCTTTAATTATGAATATATATATATATATATATATATATATATTATTTTTTTTCCTTTAAACATAATGTACATTTTAATAGTGTTGAAACGTTCACAGCTTGTTTCTGTAGCTAAAATAATACAATGAAAATGCCATTTTATCTTTCATAGGTTATGTTTATTAGGTGAATAAACAGTTATTAGGTGAGTAACATTACTAATTTACAATCAATTTGATATGTCAATTTAGGTCTGCATCCTAAGTAGAATACCTACCTCAATCAGGTTACAAATAGGTAGCAAATTTAAAATAAATTTTCATAAGCTGGTTAGTGGAAAACAGCCAACACGGCGGTTGTTTGGCTCTTGTTTTCAATATGACTTTGTTTAAACATTCAAAAGAGCAGCTAATGAATTTCAATTCACATTTAAACGGTTATAAAGAAAGCTGGCCAGCATCACTGTATATTTGAAGGTAAATAAGGCTTAAAACAATTTAAACGCAAGGAGGTGAAGACTTAAAGAAAGTTACGTTCTATGCTGCCATTCGTTCCTCTGCAAGATCATAAAGCTTTACAATGACACGTCAATCGTCAAAATCGGTTGGGTAGTACGGCTGAAAGAGGAATGTTACAGAGAAAACCATTATTACAAGTTAATATGATTTCTTAGAATTAAACATTGTTTTCTAGTTCTTTTTGTTAAGATGGCTGATAAATATGTTCTGTTATTTTTTCCATTACTTTTACGTAAAAATCTTACATAAAATTACCGTCCTGCAACAGTAAACAATTATGCAACATGTTTTTTTTTAGCAGCCTTTCTTTATTCCTGCAGAACAACCACCGTTCTTGGATAAAAGTTACCGTTCCTGCAGATGATCCCAATCTAGTCTCATATTGTACATATTTCCAAACTGAGTGTGAAATGTTCTGTTTTTCAAGATTTTCTGCTAGAACGAAGGCTACCGAAAAATCAAGATAGCTTAAAAACAAACTTTTCAAATTGTTGCCAAAAGGAAAACAGATAAACTAGGATCAGCCTACAGCACTCAAAAACTTGTAACAAAATTGTGTGTTGTAGTACATT